AAACATCTTGCCGAGTTATTCCCTTTGGTTTTATGAAAGTTTCTTGTGCATTACATATTCTTGATTATGAATCAAAGTTGCACATCACAATTAGGTTCATGATTAGAGACATTTGATCAAATCCACACATCATATGGTTGATCATGTCCAAGTGAAACAAACTCAAGAAATAAGTAGATGAATGAGTACAAACTAACTTAACAAACATGGACTTAGTTGAGCAATGGTGAAACCGAATCCCTAGCTTCATTTCCATTGATACTATCTGATAGGAGCATATTTAGGCGACTTACTTAGCTTGTTTTCGTGCATCTATGTTGTTAATTCATAGTTGTTTTAGTAGTTTAAGCCATTTTCGTGTGTTTTTAGGTTCATATGGCTAAGGAAGCAAAAAGATGCATTTTGGAGTATTTTGCAGCAAAATTGGGCTTGGAATGGATAGCATATGATTGGAGCCAAAGTGTTGGACGAATTTGAAGGCCTTGCATTCATTTTGGACATAAAACAAAGGGCCTAGCCCATTCTCTCTTAAACCAACCCCAAGGCCATGCATTTCCTTCCAATTCCAAAGCCCACAATCACTTCAAAAGCCATGCAAAGAACCATCCATTCCATCAAAAACAATCCATCAATTCACATGCAAAACCACCATTAACACACATGCACCCAAACAAAGCCAACCTAGCTAACCCTACATGCATTCTTTATGCAACTCTTCATCATTCCACCATTCATTCTTTATTCCACAAAAACAAGTCACATGCATTTCCACCTTCCTACTTCATCATTTCACCACATTCTCCCTCTTTAACTCATTTCATTATTCATTCACTTTGCATTCATTCAATTCCACCCCACATGCACCCTTTATTCTTCATCATTGCAACCATGGCACATTTACACCAACAAAACAACTCCCATGCCATGGCCTACTCATATTCCCATTTCCTTTCCAACATCTCACATGCATTTCCACCTTCCTACTTCATCATTTCACCACATTTTCCCTTTTATTTCCACATGCAATTCTTCATCATTGCAACCACAAACACCTTAAACAAATAGCCATATACATCTCCACTCCTCCTATAAATACCCTTGCATTCATTCATTCAAGAATCATCTCATTCACAACACAACACACCACAAACACTTCCCTAGCCGTGAGTTTCTCTCCCTTAGAATCCAAAAACCATCTTCCATTTCCACCAATCCTCATCCATTTCCATAATTCCCCAACACTTCCATCCCCCCAACCAACCTATCCTTAAACCTTGTGCTACAACAACGAGGAAGAGAAGAGTGCCTAAACGTTCATACAATTCAAGTTTTGAGTTGTTGGAATGTTTAGGTGTTTCTTTGATTTCAAAGTTTCATTTTAATTCTCTTTGTTTTGTACGTATGAGAAATGGAAGAAAAGAGTGCTTAAACGTTCATACAATTCAAGTTTTGAGTTGTTGGAATGTTTATGTGTTTCTTTGATTTCAAAGTTATGAGGAACTAAACCCCCTTTAGGTAGGGGGTGATTCGAAACTATGTTTATGTTTGTAATATGATTTGATTACTTTTAATTACGTTTCATAAGTTATGAATTCAATTTGTTTAACTGTTTGATTGATAACCTATTTATGTATGTTTATTAAGAATGAACGCTTAATTTTCATGCATGAATTTGACGCTAGAATATAAGTGAGTTTCACGTAATAGTTATGAACTTATATTCACAAGTAGTGGAGGTTGCTTATAAACAATCGCGTTAAACATATTCTTGGCATAAGTTTCATGCAATCATAGTAACGAATGCCTCGTCAACACTTATAGTTTTCATGATGCTTAATGATTCTTGCTTGTATCTCTATTATGCAATTCATGTAGGGAATTTGTGAGGAATGCTTTGGATTGTCGTATGCAATCATCCAATTCATTAACTTAAGGAAAACTTGACGGTTAATTTAAGCGGACCTAATTAACCCGGGGCGTTGAGAATTCATGGTTTATTGAAAAGCAATTAGACATCGTTTTGTATGCAAGTATAACATATGTGGAGATGAACCCCTTAGCTAGCTTCCTATCCATTCATTTCCGTCAAATCCATATTTACAATTTGTTTTATTTCCAAGTTTCCATTTTTAGTTTAAAGTCGTCCAAATCCAACCCCCTTTACTTTATTGTTCAATTTAGTTAGAAATCAATTTAGTTTGTGTTTTTAAAGCATTTTGAGTCTTTTGGTTTGTCTTAGTGTTTTAACGTTTAGTTTCACATTCTTTGAGTCTAGTTTAGTGTTTTATCTTGTTTTTACGTTTTTGAGTCAGTTTCCAAGGTTTTAGCAATCCCTCCTAATCCCCGGTCCAGAACGATCCCTACTTATACTTATACTACAATTGACAAAAAGAGGGTTTAATTTGTGTGCGTATAAATCTCGCATCACTATCCCATTAGAAAAGTTGTTGATTCATTGATTTGTGTTTACTTCATTTTCTTATGCTTTCAAGTTACAACAACAAATCTGCCTATTTTGATTAGTTTGATTCATTTCTTAGAGTTCTTTGCAAAACAAGTAATTACATAGGTCCAATTAGTCCCTGTGGATTCGACACCCTTGCTTGTGCGAAGTGAGCTTTGTTTATAGAAGGGAATGTGGCTCCAATTCAGATTGGATCCCATGCACAAGTCAAATGGAATAGCATCAAAATGAGCTGGAATTGATGGGTTTCTGAGGTAGTGGACGCATGGTATTAGGGAATATGCATGAATGTTGTTTGTTTAATTTAGCTACATGTGCACTTGCTGCAAAGCTGAAATGACACCCTGGAAAGGGTATCAAAATGCACGGCATAGACAAGGATGAACTAGAATCACATGGAATGATGGGATGAATGGATTTCTGGAATGATAGATGCAAGGAATGGACATGATCTGCAGGTATGAGGATTATTTAATAAAGAAGCATGTGGATTTCTGCAAAGGTGAATTGAACCACCAAAAATTGTTTGTACAAATCTGGAAAAGGGAAGAAAACACACGGCATGGGATGATGGAATGAGTGATTTTCTGAAATAATGGGTGAATAACAAAAGGGAAATGTGCAAGCATGTGGATTTCTGCAAAGATGAAACATGAGAAAGATAATGGAATGCACGGAATGGATGTGAGCATGCATGTGAATGCATGCTTTGGTGTTTAGAAATGCATAATCTGACTTGGAACCACATGGGATTTGCATAACATGATTGTGTTTGTTGGTGGAACTATGGTTGAATGAATTAAGTAATGGAGGTGCATGTTCTTGGTGCAAAAGGGAGCTGGAATGGCATGGGAAGCACGGCAAGGTTGCAAACATGCATGTGAATGCATGTTTGGGTGTTGGAATCACATAGCTGACTTCCATGTTTTTGCTTTGTTTAAAATCACCCAATATGGCCGAATTGCATCTCTTAGCACTTCACATCTTTTCTGGAATGTTTTTACTTCATTTGCCTTCCCATTGATCCAAGTTCACACTTGGCTGCACACTAACACCAAATAATGTAAAATGCAACTAGTTTAATCCAAAACAATCACAAAGACACCAAATAAGGAAGATATAAATGCATGCAAAATGTGACTTATCAACTAAGAATAACAAAACCTTGTGAAGTAGTCCTCAATTTTGGAGGCAAACAACATGCAAATAAATCGGAGTCAAGTTTCCTCTAAAACAAATCAGAGTAGACTGTACCTTTTGTTGTGAGCCAAGTGATGAAATCCTACTCATTATTTTCTCTTTAAGAACCTTTGGAATTGGTAACAAGATTTTGGGCCCTGTGGTTTGTTGCATAAGCATGCAAAAACGACATCATTAAGTCACCATACCTTTGCCGGGGGTGAATATCCATGATGAAATTTCTTCTTATAATTACGTTGTGACGGGCCTTTACCTTGGATGCAGGGTGAATGCAAATTTGTGCATAAGTGAGATAAAGTGAGCTCGCGTTTTTAAGCTACTTTTTTTCTTTCTTTCATGAATGTACCAGGATACATGCTCAGTTTGATAGATTCCTTCAGATTCCTTCACCTTTGTGTACTATATGTCTTTGTTGTTTCAGCAGCTTTTTGTGAGGAATAAAATAGTTTCGGCTTCTAAATAGCTATCTCTACTTTTCAGCTTCCTTATTCAGGTCCAGAGATATACGACGGAACATGCAGCAAGTTTGGTTGCCTTGCGTACAGAGAATTATCACATCCAGTTCTACAGCTTGTTTGATGACCGTGAAATGTCTGAGGTGAAGATGTTTGTTGTTTACTTGATATTTCAATGGATAATCAGATATTGAATTTTCTACGGCGAGCGTTGTTTTTTTGAGAGAGAGAGAGAGAGAGAGAGAGAGAGAGAGAGATTATAAGTTATGGTATGTAAGTGAAATTTTTCTAACTTGGACATTTTGCTGGTTCAAATCTGTGAGGGAAATCATCAACCAGGAGATGAAGTCACAGTAAGTTGCTCATTTTAGTTTCAAGCTTGAGATTTTTTGTTTTCATTCTTCTAAAACACATGACCATAATTTGACCATATCTTGGGTTATTGCGGTCACAGGTAATAGTGACTTTGGTGTCTCTATCTGGAGATGGCTCTATGATGAGCACAGTTGAAGTTAAGCTTCCTGAAGAGGGGTTAGGTGGTCTTGTTTGTCTTAAATTTTGGGCATCAGGGTCACAGAATAAAAGTTTCAGCCTGTCCACTGTTGTTTATGAACCTCACAGGTATGGACCTGACTGATCTGTTGTGGATTTTGATGTCTATATGTTGCCATAATACTAGTTGCAAGGCCTGCTTCTGATAAATTAGTGACTGCTACTGAACTTGCTAAAAATGAGGAAAAACTTGTATCTTGTTAATTTAAAGTCTCTTATCTTATGTGCTTCAAAGTCATGATGATAAATATATTTGTTAGTCAAGTAGCATTGTCATTTGTATGCATGATACGGACTCGAGGTAACTGTTAATATTTTGTGTTGTATAGGGATGCTAGAATTTCTTCCCTTGCGTGCCATCCTACTCGTCGTATGGTTGCCAGCTCATCCTAATATGGGGATTTCAAGGTAATTTCTGAATGATTTGTATGTTTGCTTTTCAGAATTTTGTTTTCCATGAAGTTTTCAGTTTTGTTTCACTGTGTCAGATTTGGGTTTGCAGTGATGAGATGCTGCAGAAACATGAGGTTCTGCAACATTCTGGTTGGATGTGTCATGCCGTAGGTTCATACAAGTATGTTCCTACTCCTTCTAGGAAGGAAAAGCTTTCATGTAGATGTGGTCACTGTGTTCTTGCTGAGAGTTAAAAATCCATCATTTCTTGAAAAAAAAATTACTAACTATAAAGAGATTATTAATTCATGAATGGCCAAAATTTTTGGTGAATTATTAAGATTTTATTGTGTTTTACAGACGCATTATTTTTTTTTGGATTGGAGTCAGATGTCAATCATGATATTTCGAACTGAATATTGGTTAGTTGTAGTAGCTAACTCTGCTGTGTGAATTTCTTGTTCTGGTGTCCTTGCATAAGGGTTTTGATATCGTAGTGTTTTAGAGTACTGTTTTTATAGGCAAGAGGAAACCTTGTCGTCTATTTCGCACTCCATTTTTCTTTTATGAAAATTTGTTTTCTATATAGAAGTGGACACCTCAGGTGCGGAATGCAACTCATGGAAAAATGGGCGGGGGATAGAGTACCAGGGTAAAAGGGAAAAAGGAATGATGTACATTTTAGATGCTTCTGCACATATAACATAACCTGGTGTTCAAAACTCTTGGCTTTTGGTTGTCTTTGTAACACATCTGATCTGCTTTGATAACTCTATCTTATGGATATTCATTTCCTTCTCAGGAATGAGCCAATGACAGCTGCTGCATTTTCTGGTGATGGTTTGCAGCCGAAAATGCAATCACACTATGGGATCCCGACAACAATGCACTTGTAGCTGTGATTGGAGAGAGGCAGAAACATTTGTTATTTCATCTGAATCATTATATTAGTGTGTGGAAAATGTGGCTTGCCCTTTCTACTTGTAATCTTTACAATGGGTTCTAAATCATTATATCAGACGTCTTTGCTGCTCATGCATTTATGCATACACACGTACGTAAATATATGCAAGTATGATGAGTCAATATTATATTGTATATTTCATCCTATTCTTAATATAATTTGATAATCATTCTGGTAGAATTTTGATACTTTGTTTTATATTTTCAATATAGGACATTCGATTTCCTCTGGAGCAAAACGTGACCAAACGGACGAATTTTGGAGTGATTCAAATTGGAGGACGTTCGTGTGTTCCTTAGCTTGTACGTGTCAAAATTTCAGCAATTTCTATCGAGCAGTTATTTTCTGGAGATTAAATGAAGGAGCAGTGCGTGTTGCTGGAAAGTGACGTTTCTGGGCTTAAACTGCGTTTTTGGAGCCCAAGATGACCTCAGATGGGTTTGTGGTTTTCTGTAGAAGTATTCAGAATAGTCGAAGCTTTAAATCCAGCTATTTTGAGCCAGTTTTGGAGCTGATATGGGTTCAAAATAAAGAATTATTTATGAGGTTCTTTTATTAAATTTTTTAATTTTTCAGTGGGTTTGTGTGCTAATTTCCCAAAATGTTAATGGTGGCTGAGTTAATTGACAATTAAACGTATTCATTATATCAGCTTCCTTTTCGATCTCAATTTCACAATCTTGCAAAAATGATGACGTCCAGCTCTGTGGAGTCAAATCACTATTAACACTTCACTATTAACACTTCACGTGAAGCAGTGGCCTTGCTAACAACGGATCAGGATCCTCTCCCTAGTACGGGGATTCTCATGAACAAAAAATGTGGACCGTTAGATTTTTATTCAACGATTACAAACAGAGAGTCCTTCTAAAATTATAATAATTATAATCGTTGGATTTTTATCCAACGGTTCACACTCCTTGATTATGAGGATCCCCATACAAAGATCAGGAGAGGATCCTGATCCGCTAACAACATCGTCTGTCTTTATATATATTTTCTTTATAAATTTATATATATATATATATATATACATATATATACATATTATGTACCATACATGTGTAAACCTATGTATATGTACACGTTGATGAAATTAAAGGTTAGGAAGTCATATATAATAATAATAATAATAAAATTGACATAAAGTTCGTGCCCAACCCTTTTCTTTATAGCTCTTCAACCAGAATTATTACATCTAATTAACAACTTGCTGTTGATATGGAATCGTGTTGTGAAATTGAGAAGGAAGCGTTGCATTCGTATTCTAGATCCTCAAAACCCCAAAACTCATCTACTTCTTCTTCCTCTGCCATCTACCACCTCTCTGTCTATTTCCCCTTCTGATTCCATAACCTCCAATACCTGCAAATATAGTGGCAAATTAAATTACTATATCGAATGTATTCATGTCAATTCCTCGTTTTTTTATTTTTATTTTTTGGAACAAATGATTTTATCTTCACTAAGAGGAGGGGGTCAGTCTGGTCTCACAATGAGTTAGCAATAATGTAGTTTGAATTCGCTTTTCACGAAAATCGAATCTAAAGACCTCATTTACAAGTAAAAAGAAATATCACTAGACCGTATTACTAAGTGACCCTCGTTTCTTAAAGTTGATGACATACATTTTAATTTCTAAGTTTAGTATTTGGACTGATTATTGGACTTCACATTAATAATATTGAACCATAATGTATTTTCTATATACCATAACAAGTATACTATGTGACGGTCCGTTCCAAATTTTCGAACCGTAGGGGTGAAATGACGATTTTGCCCCTAGCATGGTTGTTTCGTTGTGTGATTGTTTTTGGGAATTTTTGTTGGCAGGTTTTGGACCACACACACTCCCCCACACCTCCTTCACCCTTTCCCTGCCCTGCACCCCTGTCCCGAGCCTTTCTCTTTCCCATTTCCATCCCCATTTGTACGAACACACCCCAAAACCCTCCAAACCTCCACAGATCGAGGAAACAAAGTACATATTCATGCTCGTGAGGTCCGTAGGAGTTCAACCATACCCATTTCAGGTAAGGATACCTTCGTTTTCACGTCGAACTTGGGATACCCCGATTTGGTCACTGTTCATGCACACGTTAATCCTTGTGTTTTTGGGAATTTCAAGCTTGTAGGAAGCTTGGTGAGGTCCTTAGGAGGCTCGGGGTGGTTTGTTTGAAGGTTTTGGACGTTGGGATCGTGAGTTTCAAGGTTGGCCGAAGTTGGTGGTGTTTTCCCGGCGTGATTCCATGGATTTTAGTGCTTGAAAGTGGTATGGATTTGTTCCTCTTGTTGCAAGCTTCATTTTGGTACCAATTTTGTGAACTTTGGTTGAAAACCGAGTGAGATATAAGGTTTTGAAGTTTTCACGATTTTCCGGCGTCGGCGACGGCGCCGAAGCTTCGCCGGAGAAGACGACGGAATATTCCTAACGGCGTTAACAGAATCCGTTAAAGTTAACTCTATATTCCTGACGGCGTTAACTGACGCCGTCAGTGTGCCAGGCACGTGCCTGCGCGTGGCCGGCGCGTGCGGCAGTGGAAAATTTTTCTAAAAATATGAAGATGTTCCTGAGGTTGAGTAGATCACGTTGGTGTATTCATACACCCCATTTGAGCATTGTATGAGAAGTTATTTCATAAGGTTGGTTATGTGCTTTAAAATTAACGTTTTTATAGTTGTTTCGCATATAGGTGAGACCTATCCCGAGGACGAGCGCGGTCACTCGAGGTAAGGGGGCTACGACCTTTCCACATACCAGTGAGTGGGCTTTTGGTTTTCCGTATATACCTATATACTTATGTTTTTCCCAGAAAATGAATTAAAACGTTTATACGTTTCAATGCAATGCATTATGTTTGCCGTTTGTTTATGCATTGTTAGTAGCCTATATGTATATAAATGTTGGTGCTGTGGACGCACAGGTAAGTGCCAGGTGAGTTATGATTTACGTTTACGTTTAGTAGTGATTTGAGATGCATAGAGAGCTCATAACCTGCATCCCTGGTGTTAGTGCTCCCGCCCAGAGTTGGGCACAGTCCTTCACGTGATGTTCACCTCCCGCACCACACGTTCATCTTGGATCCAACTTAGGTGCACAGTCCTGTCGTACAGACCAATTTAGGTGGTTCCGACTCGTAGGTGACCCGCGATTAGTCGCCCAGCCTTCACATGATCGTAGCACTTGAGCGTATATATATATGACACCCAGTCCTGTCGTACAGACCACTTTAGGTGGTTCCGACTCGTGTGCAGGTATAGTTAGTGAGATGGAGATTTGAGCTCTAGATTCAGCCGTACAGGTCACGTTAGGTGACTCCGGCTGACAGCTTATATGACATTGATTTAACATTCCTAAGCACTTACCTTCTATTTAGAGACATTTGGCATGGCATATTTTCCGAGCATGATTATATATATGTATATTATGTTTCTGGGAAGTATACAGGTTTTACGGCGAGGGGTTAGAATCTGTTTTTGAAATGATTTTTGAAAAGCTTTGTTTTTGCCCACTCACGCTTTTGTTTTGCGCCCCTCCAGGTTCTAGTTGGCTAGCATTCTTGGTGGCTCCCCAGAGGATTTCCTCGGCATAACTGACAGATTTTCACCAATGTAGGACCACCTTTGGGTATGTTTACGTATTATTGTGTCTCCTGGACTGCACTAGGTCTTCGTGCTCTGAACCTTGTTTTCACACTTACGCTTGCACATGTATGTTATTACTTTGTGTAAAGCTGGTTTTTATTTATTCGTACTTTTATTATCATTTTACTTAGCTTCTGCACTGTGCACATGGTTACGTCACTTTCACGTGGCGGCCAGCATGCCCTGATCTCGGTCGGGGTGTGTCAGTTTCGTATCAGAGCCTAGGTTTTCGCAGTCCTGTGCTTTTGTGAGTATTCTAATGGTTTTGGTGTCTTCTGTCAGAATTATGCAGCCTCGTCGGGAACCACGTCGCTCTGCTGAGCCTAGTTTCCCCGATGTAGCTCAGCTGGGGGAAGCTATCGCTACGGCTATTCATTCGGCACTCCGCCCTCCCCAGAGGACTCCTCTGGAAACTATGTATAATCTGAAGTTGGATAAGTTCGAAGGCAACGAGGGTTTTGAGGGTGCGGAGTGGTGGCTAGAACATATTGAGAAGACCTTTTGTGTTTTGCATAATCAGGGGAATCTCCCTGTTGAGAAGTGGGTAGAGACGACATCGTGGTTTTTGGGTAACGATTCTACATCCTGGTGGGAGCAGACTGATTGGGATGTATTCCGAGAGTTGTTCAGGAGAAGGTTTGTGCCTCCTGAGTATATTGATCGCAAGAAGCAAGAATTCACTGAGTTGAGACAAGGGAAGCTGACAGCAAACGAGTACTACCGGAGGTTTACTGATCTGTCTCGCTATCATCTGGATATTGCTGGCAATCTAGCGGAGATGCTTCGTCGTTTCCGTTTAGGCACTAAGAAGAAGTGGCGTTCGATGGCGACCACTACCCCTTGTGACACCTATCAGGAGTTTTATGAGATTCTGTTGAGAATTGAAGATTCAGAGGACATGCCGAGCGAGAGTGAGGAGGAAGAGAAAGACGGTAATCAGAGGAAGGACGATAAGGGCAAAGGTCAGGCATTGCTCGGACCTCACAGGACCCAGAACTTCAAGAGGGGTGGCACTAGTTCTAGCTCTTCTAGCGGCGGCTTTAGCTGTTGGAAATGTGCCCTAAAACCAATCATATGATGATACTTTACGGACATTTCAAACTAATGTAGTTTAAATGTAAAGGGCAAACATTATTGTTTGAGCCGTCTCATATAAATGTTATATGCTTAAACGATAAGTCTAAGGAATATGTGATTGGAAGAATGCGATCTAAAGAAGTTAGATTCATGAGACCATTCTTTCGTTGACACATCCTAAACGTTCCTGATCATAGGATTGTCAATTGGGCATTAACAGTCCGTTAAGATCAGTACGTGCTATGTCTTCTCTTAGGGAGAGTGACTAGTCTCGAGTCATTGGTGTGTGTGACATCAAGACAAGTACGTAGGTGCTCAATAGAGAATGAGTTCACTGAACACGATCAACGAAGAGTTCTCATATTCATGTCACATGAGAACTCATGGTTGGGATAATGCAAATTAGTCTTTTGACCTGAGGCATCACAGTTGTCTTGTGGTTAGGTCCTTAATCTTTGATTATGTCAAAGTCACTCCATTAGGAGGGTGTCCAAGGCTGTTGGAAATGTGCCCTAAAACCAATCATATGATGATACTTTATGGATATTTCACATGTTAAACTAATCTAGTTTAATATTAAGGGCAAACATTATTGTTTGAGTCGTCTCATATAAATGTTATATGCTTAAACGATAAGTCCAAGGAATATGTGATTGGAAGAATGCGATCTAAAGAAGTTAGATTCATGAGACCATTCTTTCGTTGACACATCCTAAACGTTCCTGATCATAGGATTGTCAATTGGGCATTAACAGTCCGTTAAGATCAGTACGTGCTATGTCTTCTCTCAGGGAGAGTGACTAGTCTCGAGTCATTGGTGTGTGTGACATCAAGACAAGTACGTAGGTGCTCAATAGAGAATGAGTTCACTGAACACGATCAACGAAGAGTTCTCATATTCATGTCACATGAGAACTCATGGTTGGGATA